GAATGGTCCGACGGCCCTGGGAACAACAATGGCGTTCGCATGACATCGCCTTCCATTCAAAACCAGCCTGCATCAGTTCATAGCGACGGACCTTCCTCGATTCCGCGCAATGAGTCCGCAGTCCTACGTGACCCGGAGAGAGTGGTATGCAATGGGTATCTTCAATGCCTCAAAATCAAGGGATCTATGCGCCACTGGAAGCGACTATGGGTTGTGCTGCGCCCGAAAAGCCTTGGTTTCTACAAAGATGAACAGGTATGGATTTTATTATTTTGCTATTCCTCTAGCATTGAATTCTATAGTCATGACTAACCATGCCATGTTCAAGGAGTACTCTGCCGTCAAAGTCATACCCATGGCACAGGTGATCGACGCTGCTGAAGTCGACCCTATGTCACGTTCGAAACACTTCTGTCTTCAAATCATCGCGGAAGAAAAGTCGTATCGACTATGCGCACCGGATGAAGAATCTCTTGCAAAGTGGCTAGGTGCTTTGAAGAGCATTCTCGTCGCCCGCAAGAAACTGGAGCCTGCGCCCGGAGCAGCAGGCCTCCGTTAAAGGAAGTACACTGTATAACAGATTCCGGGACCCCTTCGGATCCCGCCCCTTCTATACATTCTTTCAAGTTTTCTCGATATCCCCTTTGGATTCTGGCTAGTCTACTTCAATTCTTACCCAACTATTCTCCTTTGTGGTTTCCATGTTCGCCGGTATTATATTACTTCGCACTTGATCCTGTTTGATGATACATACCCAATGTTCTTCATGATATTTTGTCTTAATGTCTTGTGATTTTATAACTGATTGTACGAGATGTTGAGACCCCGCGAGTAAGAGACATTACAAGTTGGGTTAGTCTCGCGTATGGCTTGATTGTCCTGGATGACATGAGAAGTGATGCGGGTTTTGCGTGCTCTTCATGTATCTCTTCACCCTTCTATTCCTCCCACCCAGCACACCTTGTGTCTGTCAGTGGTCTTGTAATTCTATTTAGTACCAATAATGCTCTCTGTGCTTCAGACATGAGCAACATTGTATCAATGCTAACTTCACTACCAAATTTGCTTCCATCCTCAGCAGTTCCTCAATCAGTAATAGTAAAGTAAGCCCCTTGCCTACTACCTATCTAACGTACCAACACCTCCATAGCAGGTATAGATACTTATCACCTATCCCTTCCATACTCATTACCACCATCCCCAGGAATAGCCTCATACCCAGCGCTAGCACCAGCCCCTCCCCTCCCAACCACCACCGCAGGCCCCTCCCCATCCACCTCCCGACTCTCCTGATTAACCACCAAAAACGACAAAAACACCACCGTAGCCCCAGCCCAGTACAACCCGCTCGCATACTGTCCCTGAAGCACGATCTGGCCCACGAGCGAGAGCGGGATCGTCAGACTCAATCCCACGGTTACTACTAGTGGTGTGGTGAGAAGCATCGCGTAGGCCCAGGCGATGTCGGAGGCGAGGGAGGCGAGGGCGTTTACCTATATTTTACAATTGGTATTAGTTATCTGTGTATTGCTGACGTGAGAGAGGGTTTGGGGATGTGGGGGGGTAATACCAAGATAATCGTCCAGACTCTCCCCGTATCAGGCATTCCTACAGATTCTATACCGAGGACGTGAAGAATGATGAAGCCCGGCCAGAGGAGGACCGTATTGAATAGGCCTACTAAGCCGAAGAATAGTTGCATGTTGACGCGGGATTCGTCTCCCACTTGCTTTTTTAGCACGATGGTGTATACGCCGTATAGGATGGCGCTGAATGCGGCCATTGCGTCGCCGAGGGCGATTTCGCCGGGGGTTTTGGAGGGGAAGGTGCTGCCGCTGCCGCTGCTAGTGTTGTTGTTGCTGGGGTTGTCGGCGGGTGACATGTCGACGCGGGAGATGAGGATGATGCCGATGAGAGAGGCGATTACCCCGATGAGTTTGCGGATGGTGAAGCGCTCGACGCCGATTAGGGCGCCGAAGATGAGGGTCCAGACTCCTGGTTTGGAGTTAGTTTTGGTGGTGTGAAGTGGTTGGGGTACGTACGTACCGCTTGTTGAGGTGAGGATAGTGGTGCTTCCTACTGTTGTGTATTGGAGACAGCCCATTGCGAAGTAATTTGCCTGATTGAGTCAGTATTGGAGGATGGATGACACTATTGATCGCTAGTACTCACGGAGAACTAGTGCGTGTTAGCTTTTGCGTCTTTATACAGTTGGGAGATTCAGTGTAGCGATATGCTTACCCATAACAGACAGAACTCAAAGCTCAATTTAGCTGTCGCCTTCAATCCCAGCTTAGATGGCTGACCTCGGGGTGCAGCATTGAATCTAGCACCAGCCCATGTTTCAGGGTCTTCATCCTCGCTGCGCCAACGCTCCCCACCTGCATTGTGACTGAGTATACCCTGTGCCTCGACGTTGGTATCATGAGAATCGAGGTGCTCCAACAGACTTTTGAAAGACCGAATACGGTAGAGCTTCCCTGCCCGCCATAGTTTCAAGAGCCGCCTAGAGAGAATTGTGAAAAGAGGAAGGATGAACAACGAGGTGTTGATGTATGTCACGAAGAACGGTTTTGAGTATGTATCGTCGGCGAATATTGTCTGTGACACATAGATAGAGACGAAATTAGCACGACACCGGGTATATTATATAACGAAGGGTCAAGAGTAGTCAAGCACATACACTGGCGAGGAAATTCGAGGCCGTCCATAGGAAGACCACGACAAGCAGCAGACAAATACCCAATGTTCGTCTTGCGGCGCCGACCAAGATCGAGCCATCCGTAGTCTCGGGTGCTTCCATGGTTTCTGAGTCCATTCCGCGTACTTTCTCTGGCTGTCAGTAGCGGGCGATAAGAGAAGGACTCGCTGTGAGTCCAGGCTCTATAGAGTTCCCCGCCGGCGCACGCGATACGAGGTATAATAGACCCCCCGGACCGCGAGTGATCTTCCTAGATCATGGGCGCAAATAAAAGGCCGTACACGTTGAAAGACACCACCTGTTCCAGCAGGCGATAAAGAAGGGGGCGTGGACGGAGCAAGATCGGGGGGATTCACCGGAGGAGAGAGAGGGAAACCGGAGGCGGAGTGACTCTGCGGTGTAACCCGAACTGATAACGCCGAGCATCACGAGATGCGCCGAGATAAGCACGCGACGCTTAGTCGATCCTGATCTCCTCCACCATACCACTGGTTCTTTGGCCAGCGGGATCCTCCTTGCTTCTCGGGTTCTAATTGGGAAGGAATTAGAACTAACTATGAGAAACATAGGTCTTGCGTAATACAACACTAGATGTGTGGTAATTGCCTACTTAACCGGCTATACTGTACAAGGTTTCAGCAGATAAGCAATAATATTCCAGACTCCTACAGAACATGATAGTACCTTCGTACCAGAAAAGCAAAAGGGAAATATTAAGCAGAATCAAGACCATCAACGGATATCCCATGCGAATTGACAGGCAAACACAAGACAAGGAGCGTGACACATGAGGAGCTCCATAACTGTATAAGTGCAGGTGTTCCCAACAGAACAGCTACGCTCTTCCAAGCTCAAAAGTTCATACGAGGCATTGATGTGCTCTGACAAGCACGAAGTGGGAGCGTTCGGAGGCGCGTACAGCGAAAATGGAGCGGGCTTGAAGCAGAAATATAAAACGTTCGCAAGGCATGTCTAGTAAAGGAGTCATTAACAAGCGCATCCGTCACGCTCACCATCAAGGTGAATGTTGATCGGGTCGCTGAACTCCCCACTAAATTCTTCTGCCTCTTCTTGTGCCAGAGCGCTCCGGGCGATGACTGAGTGCAAAATCAGCCATGCATTACAATCAAGTAGACAGGACAAGTAACTAACCTTCAAAAGCCTGCTCAACGTTGACGGCTTCCTTGGCACTCGTTTCGAAGTAGGGAATGTTGCCCTTCGACTGGCAAAACGTCATAGCCCGTTTCGAAGAGATCATCCGCTTGCTCTCTTCCACATCGATCTTGTTACCAATCACAACCTGAACTCTAATCAGTATTCGTGTCTACCAGTCTTGACCATCGCGCAAATCATGCGCCTAGGTCAGATAAGATTGAAGGAAAGAGAAGTCCTTACAAAAGGGAAGCTCTCAGGATCCCTAGGGCTGGCCTGGATCAGGAACTCGTCGCGCCAGCTGTCAAGGGCCTCGAAACTCTTCGAATTGTTGACATCGTAGACCAGAACGCAGCAGTCCGCACCGCGGTAGAATGCAACGCCGAGGGACTGGAATCGCTCTTGTCCTGCAGTGTCCCAAATCTGTTGACAACTGGTTAACTCCAATCCCCAAAATCGCTCCGTTCATCTTCGCAAGCGGGGAAGTACATGCCTGCATTGTCACTAGCCGATCATCGACTAGAACCTCCTTGGTGAGAAAGTCGGCTCCGATTGTGGCCTTGTAGCTTGCGCTGAACTTTTTGTTGACCTGTTGAGCGAGATGAGGATGAGTGGGGATCCGAGGAACAGCTGGGAGATAAGGCCACCGACATATTGGTTCATCAAACTCGTCTTACCGACGCCGCTATCACCCAGAATGATAACCTAAGAAATTCCGAGAACTATGTGAGTAATTGAAGCTTTCATCGAGGCGGCTTGGCCTGCATGAGTCGGGGCAGGCGAGGTACCTTCAACAAGACCTTCTTCCGTGACGACATGGTGGAGATATGAGGGGGCTGTGAGTGTATGAACAAGTCAAGCTCTGTCTATAGAAGGGGAAAAAGCAAAGAGATGTTCGATATAATCCCGTCAGCGCAGCGAGGGATGCAGTCAGTTGGCAGAGACACCGAGCGAGTCGGGTAGTTGTTGTCAAGTAACAAACAGGAAGAGTGATGGTTGGGCCTGGACGGTGAACTGAGCCGAGCTAACGGCGACGGCGGCTTTCGATGATGCACGCGGACGTGGGCGGTGGAGATGGCGGTCAGCGCCCCATCCACCCGTCAGTGACAAGAGAGTCCATTCTTCCCCTCACGCTTTCAATTAGTGTGGCAGGTCGTTGGGGTTGTCGTGGTTTAACTCGTTTGGTTCCTTTATTAACCTAGTAACATCTGTGAATATAGCTATACGTCTCTCCCTCGGCGACTCTGAGCTCCACCATGGCTCCATGATATGAGGGGTCCGCCGTCCGTCCGCTAGATAGACTCTCACCTTATCACCACTTGCTATCAAATGGCCCACTGGAAAGAGGAGTACTCCGCCGCGCTGGCGGCTCGTGATCGACGAGAGAAAGCCAGCATAGCTATTTACGATGCTTGTATGTCGATCACCCTCACTTTCTGGGGTAGTTCACATTCCGGAAGTATTCTGACCATTTGCTGACCATCATGATCAAAACCATTAGATACCCAACTGGCCGATCGCACGGTTCAGGGAGCAGCGGCTAGCAATCCACCGAGCTCAGATCCGGTTGAAGCACAGCATGTACCATCCGACACTTCAGCATCCCGCTCCAGCAAGGCGCTATCAGGAGCAGGAGCACAAGACCCATCTCTACAAGAGACCCTCCTAGCAACACGTGCAGACCTGGCTGAGGCGCAGCGGTCACGCTCCGAACTGCAGGACCAGCTCACACGCATGACTGCTGATTTGGAGAAGCTGCGAAAGAGAAGCACTCAGGATAGCAGACGGATTCGCTCATTTGAAAATGAGATCGCCCATCTTCAACTACGCTTAAAGGATCGAGATGAGGAGTTGCGTGGGAAGGCAAAGTTATTGGAGGTATGCTGCTCCCTTCCCTCCTTTCTTGGGGTCCTTCTAGTGTCGCTGACACCACTTCAGGATTTCCAAGACGAGCTGGCATCGTTGAACCTTCAACTGAATATGGCTGAAGAGCGGTCATCCCGGCTGCAGAAGGAGAACCAGGATCTTGTTGATCGCTGGATGGCTAGGATGGGTAAGGAAGCAGAAGCCTTGAACGAAGCCTCTAAATTCTCATAGAGAGGGCTACGCGACGAACCGACACGGCCATGATTTTTTTACCCGCCCAAATTGGATGGCTCATTGATATATAATACCTTCGTAGAATACATATTATATCCGAATGATGCTGTGTCTTGTCATAGGCACACGAACAGAAGCTATGATTCTCAAGAAATGTCTTTATCTACTACGTTTTATCATCCCAACATTATCTTCCCCTACGTATTACATCTTAATCCAGAGGCCAGAGTACTCCTATAGACGTAAGCAGAAAACTGGCCAGTGTGGTAGTGTTATTGCCATATGCTGATTAGCACTGTTGAATGAGAGACAACTTGATGCCTTAAACCATACCTTCGTCTAGAGTGACGAGATCAAAACACTTTACAGTTCGCAATAATAGGTACGTACCCCTTTCACCATGGATATGATACAGAGATCTATAATGTTAACCGGGTATATACATGGACGATGATGAAAAAGATCGCTTCGAGTTCCACAGCTAAGCCCCATCACTAATTCTTCTTCTTCTTGGCAAGGCGCTTTTGAGCCCGGATATCCTTCTTCATACGAGAATCCACAATCTTGTACTTGCCCTTGACACCACGAGGACGTCCAGAGATACCCCTGTTGTTTCCCTTGGCAACCACCAGCTTCACCTGCTGCTTGGGCTTCTTCTTGGTAGCCCTGCTCATCAATCTCGCAATAGCCTGCGACTTGTCACGCTCACTGAGGGCTTCGTCATCTGCCAACAGTGCAGACTTCTTGCGCAACTTCTCCAGTCGCTGAGCGGCCTTGAACTTCTTACGGCCCTTGGCTTCCATAACCTTCTTGATCGGGCGAGCGTTAATGGCGCGCATCTTCTCCTTGATTGCGGCTGCGGCCGCCTTGGTGATAGGACGGTTCTGGATACTGTGCTTGTTCTCGTCGTCAAGGAACCACTCGGGGAGACCATCACTATCGCGGAACGCAAATCGGTTGAAGCCATCGTCAACGACATCAGAAGACTTCTTCTCGCCAGTGGCCATCTGTTGGGCGAGAGCCATAGCTTCAGCAGTGATGATGTCGATATCTGAGTAGTAGAGTCAGCATTAATTGTCCAGGGTACAAGGCAAAGACATGCCACATCTGCGAACTTACCGAGCTGCCCGTTCTTCTTCCGTGGATCCTCAAGCTCTTCAATATCTTCTTCATCCGAGTCTTCCATCGCCTGAACAGGCTTCTTGGATTCCTTTGCCTTCTTCTTCTCAGACTCCTTGCCCTTAGGCCGAGCCTCCTTAACTTCGATGGCGCTATCTTCATCTGCCACTTCGTCATCTTCATCCTCGACATCGTCGATGTCTTCTAGACCTTGGAAAATATCTTGGTCGAAGAATAGCGATGCACTGTTGGAAAGGGAAGCTGACTTGGGAGCTTTGTCGCCGGCGGAGCTAACTCCAAGACCCTCGTCGTCGGAGTCCTCATCATCTTCCTTGTCATCATCGGAAAAGCCATCCCAGGAGTCGGCTTCAAAGTCCTTCCTGGCCTTCTTTGCCCGTAGCTTCGTGTCCCGGTCCTCCTTGCGGTCCTGGTATTGCTCGTACAAGTTGTCAAGTTCCCGCTCCAGACGGTCTTCCTCGTCATCGCTCTCCTCGAAGTCAGACTCGGAAGCACTGTCTTCGCTATCACTTTCAATCGTTGCTTCATGGCCGGCAGCAATGGTGTCCCTGATTCCACCTCTCTCGGCGCGCTTGAGCGAGAATGTGGCATCCTCGCCATTAGGTCCCAGTTGCTCCTTTCCGATATCCATGGGTGTCGTCATGTGCATCTGTAACCGAACGATTTCCTTGCGCTTCCTCTCGTTCTCCTTACGGCGCTCTTTCTTCTGCTTGGAGGTTTCCTTTTCACGAAGGCGCATCAGCTCCTCTTGAATGGCCAGCTCGTCATCCATAGGAGCGACCTCCGCCACTTCTTCGGTCTCATCCTCCTTGGCTTGACCACCCTTCTTCACAGCGAGACCGAACTGCTCCCGCACCTTCAGTCGCCACCTGAGCAGGTTCCTGAATTCCTTCTTACCCAGAATCTTGAGATCCTCACAACAGGCTTTGATTTCGTCGGTCGTCTCTTCTAGTCTCTCCAGAGTGGCGAGGGCAAGGTCACCACTTGGGGACTGTTGGAAGCTAAGTTTGTTGCATGAACCCAGGATGGCAATGGGATCAGTGGTGTTGATGAATTCAGTAACCGGGACCTCCTTGAATTGCGTGTAATCGCCCTCTTCGTAACCCTCTCTCTTGCGCTTCTTCTTCTCCGGGTTGAACACCTTGGCCTCGTTGTTGGGGGTAGGGTCCGCAAGTTCTGCAAAGACGTGCTTGGGATCGAGGAACTTCGGGTCAATGCGCTTTGGTGCCTTGTAATTGCGACAAACAACGAAGATTTCTGCAGAAACGTTTCGAGAAGACGGAGGTTTCGTCGCCTCCACGGACGCAAAGAGTTGCTTGAAAACCCACAGGAGCGGATTGTAGTCCTTGGATCTGAAGACCTTCGTAACGAATGTACCACCTTCCGCCAAGAACTCCGTAGCCAACTTCAAAGACTGCAACACCAGCTCTGCCTGAGAGAAAGCATCCTGAACCCAGGCGGTACCGACATTGGGAGCACCATCGTGAAGTACGGTATCAGCCTTCCAGTGCTTCAGGTGCTGTCTGATTGTTGTGCGACACTTCTCGGTCGTAATATCGCTCTGGAAAGTGATGACTCGGGGGATCGGCTTAATAGGCGCAAGATCGACACCGACAATGATACTCTGTGCGGGCATGCATTCTGCAGCAACTTGACACCACGACTGTGTTGCGGAAGTAGTCAGCCACCGGACTCGGCGTTAAAAATCACACTGATGGGTTGTACTCACACCGGGTGCCGCGCAAAGATCGAGAACGACTTTGCTCTTCTCCAAAAAGCCATACTTCTTGTTCAGCTGGATCAGCTTGAAAGCAGCTCTCGCTCTGTAACCCTTCTCCTTCGCCAGGCGATACCACTTATCCAAACGACCTTTACCATGCTAAGTCATTGTCAGTACTGGGATTCCCATGACCGCGGGACAGACCAATGCCGCATTACCTTCTTTTGAATCGCCATCTTGAGAGATGGGAGGTCGAGACACACTCGACGAAAAAAACGAACCGCTAAACAGAAGACTGCGGATGCAAGTGGGTAGGAATGGTGAAAGCGGTACAAAAGAATGTATCCAGGAAAAAAAGTTATCGGCGGCCTGGATGGATCCTTTCCTGGTCTTCTCCACATCGGCCCCGAAAAATAAAAATTTCCCCTTCCAGCCCGGATGCATGTGGCGGTGCAGGAGCCAGCAGCACACCAGCCACACCACACCAGTTCACCGCCTGAGGCGGCGAGGCAAACAAAGACGGTCAGCAGAGAGCATGTGACGTGATGTCAGGCGTGATGCTGGCCCGATTTGGCTGATAACCAACCAAAGACCCGCGCTGATCCTCCGGCTGCCATCGCTGGTGGCTAGTCTGCTGGCCTTGCCCCCATCATAGCATCTCCTTTCACTTGGTCTTAGGCTTTTCCATGCTTTGATCTGCACCTCATCTCGCATCGGTGATGTTATTAGTTAAGCTTTCATGCCGTCGATGGGATCTCGTAAGAGAGTAAAGCCCAGCCCCCTCGGCGCGGACTCCAAGTCCCCAACAGCGTCCGACGATGGTGCTACATCGCTTTCCGCAGGCGGAGACCATGCAGAATCAAGGAACAGGGGGAGCACTGCGGTGAGTCCGGGTTTTCAGTAGCCCTATATCTTCTTCTGCATCCGTCCTGTATATCTAATATCTCATTTGGACTATCAGAGTTGGTATCCTGCTGTCTGGCCGGCAGTCTCCAGAGCATCCAAAGCGGCTCCCGTTACCGAGGTTGCCCGTGAGAGCATCTCCGCTGCTCAAAACTTAGCACCCCGACTCACTTCCCGCTCAACTCCTCAGCTTGATTCTCCTAAGCCATTCCGAAATCCCTCCCTCCAGCTTACTCGGAAAGTCGGCGCATCCAGCAGGTCTCTTCCTGCCGACGCTGCGACAACGAAGATAAACATAGCTTCTGATGGCACTACATTCACCCCTGAAGAGGATGCTAAGTCGTGCCCGGCTGGCATAACAACGCAACCGACCGAGGAAGAAGTATCGAGAGACCAAGAGACAGTAGCTGCGGATGACGCTGATAAGGGTCAATTGAGTGCTGCTCCCAAGTCTACTACAGATGATAACCGGGACAGTGCTGACGCAGGCCCGACGTCGACTGTCCAAACGGGTGGATGGTTTTCATGGTTTTATGCCCCGTCAACAACCGACAATTCTGCCCCAAAAGATCCGGTACCAGATCCTGTTCCAGCCCCTGTGCCAGAGCCCAGTCCACCAGAGCCTAGTGAAGAATCACCCGTGAAACCCCCTGTATCGAAAGACGAAGAGCAGGCAACCTCGGAAGATCAGGAGCAAACAGAGCCAGATAGGCCGGAACAGGGTAAGCCTGAAGAAACGCATGATAGTTCGCAGAACACTTTAAAACGTTCTTGGCTTCAAATGTGGTACGGTTCATCAACAAAGGGGCCAGAAGAGCCTGCAAGCAAGCCTCCAGATGACGTGGATAAGCCAACCACGCAAGACGTGCAGACGGAACCTGCACCAACTCAAGATCATGATACGCAAGGGGCAAGCAGTCCCGCTACGATACCTGTGAAGGACCCGAAGCCCTCTGGATGGTCATTCTGGTTCAAAGAGACTTCGAAGGGACTTGATAAAGAGGCCCCACAAGAATCTCAGATCGCTAGCGCCTCTGTTATGCCAGATTCTTCTCTGAAAAAAGCAACCATTGAAGCCGAACCGGAGCCAGAAGCAAGGGCTGAGATTGCGAAAAAGGGAAGCGTTAAGCTTAAGAACAATAAGAGCAGCTCTGCACTACCTGATAAAACCACATTACGTCCAGAAGCAGGTCTCAATGACTTGGTTCCGGGGCCACCTGAGGCTGCAGCTTCGAAACAATTGCGAAAAGTCTTACCCAATCAGGTTTTGCCAAAGTTTCACGAAACTTTTGCTGTGCAAGAAAAGCCCAGTTTGTTGCAGACAATAGGGCGATATTTCCACTATGGTAAAGAATCGAATAACAGACACGTCCATATGGTTAAGGATACGCCCCCTATCAAAAGGGCATTG